ACTCTGAGGTAGGATCTATCTCACATGCACTATTAAAATGTCCATTGTACACCCAATGGTGATCAGGTTTAATACTTCCAATTGTTAATAACTCCAATTGCCATTGCAGTCAGGAAGTTATAACTCTTCTCCTGGGTGACTACGCTTCAGAAATCTCTAAGAAGTTTGCAAAATCCTTACCAATAGCAATAGCTAGTTTCTAACAACTGTTAGAACGGTTTCTGTCTGATTCCTCCCTTATGCTATTAACTGTTAGCTGCTAATTGTTTTAGGATTTTCTCACAATTTTTATTTTTTGTAATAGTTATTGTATCATATGCTTTTTTAAATTATTATGTTTGGTCTTGGACCATAAATTTTGATTGATTGATTGAAAACCTCATCCTCTCCCTCATCTAAGCTAAGTTGGAGTACCTGTTGTATCACCACTAGTCCTTCCTCTTGAGCACCCATGTTGTGTTGAAGGGCAGCTCCAATTTTCCAACTTGCTGCCCATGAAGTATATCTAATTCCTGCCCTTCTCCCACCAAGAAGCCCCATTAGTAAACTATATTTTCTGTTCTGTCATAAACTTTGCATATCAGGGCATTGTGTTCTAGCTTGTCATTCTTGTTGCATGCAATCATGTTCTAATAAAGCAACAACAGATTTGGTTTAGCTGGAGTCTGTAACGTTATACCTTTGTGTTAGATAAACAGCCCATTGGGTAAGTCTTTGGTTAGAAACAGGGCATGTGAGGTGCTTGCAAAAAGTATTTCAAGGCTAAATAAACCCCCTGCAAAATACTGGAGCTGTTCCTGAATATAATTTAAAAGTCATAGCACAGACTTTTTGGCAGGTACTATATTTAGATTCAGGACCTGTCATTGTTCATGAATCATAAACCACTGGAACTAACTTTCCATCTTTTGCTTTTTGCAACAGAACTATCTCCATAGCCTTATTTGACCAACTAGTTCTTACCAGAAATGGTTTCTTACAATCTGGATGTCATAAGGCTGTTTCTGGTTGCCTACAATTTTAGAGGCTGTAGAACCTCATCCTGCTCTGGTTCCTATTCCCAATGAACTCTCCTTTTAAATAGTTAAAATAAAGGCCCTGTCTTATCAGCAAAATTCGGAATATCCTGTTTAATGAAATTAAAAGCCCCTATAATTGTTTTCATTTCCTTAACATTTCTTGGTGGAGCCATTTCCACTAAGACAGGAACCTTATCCACCCCAGTGGCCCTCCCTTCTCCATCCAATGTTGCTCTTAGGTTCTTTGTCTTAATTTTAACCAGTTGAGCCTTTTTCAGATTCATTTGAACCCTGTATCTCTTACCAAAATTAAGACTCTGAAGGTTCATTCCCTAACTTCCTCCTCAATCTGCCCTACAGTCAGAATATCCACATTTGAGAAAGCACTATCACTATCAGATTTTGGTAACTAATCCAACACTTGTGTCACATAATAGCGGACTATCGCTCAGCTATTTTGAAACCCTTGAGGGATGTGCATGATACTGAATTGCTGTCCCCAAAAATAAAAGCAATTCAGGCTTGACACTCTGGAATCAATGGTAAATTAAAGAAGCAGTTAGCCAAATCAATCGCACTAAACCATTTAATTTCCACTCCTATTTTATTTAGGAGTTCAGATATGCTAGCTGCAGTTGGAGCTATTTGTGATATCTTTTCATTAACCTGTTACAATCTACAATCATTCCATAAATTTTATCATCTGATTCTAAAACAGCCCAGATTGGACCATTGAAGGGACTAACAATCTTCTTAATCACCTCTGCCTTTTCTAAGTCATGTACGATTTACCCAGTGCTCTTTTCTCCTAGCTTTGGCAAGAATATTGGGTGGAACAAGTCTAGTAATTTCTACTTTTAAGTGTTTTTTTTTTTAATTTTTTACATTGGCTACAGTATTCCTGATGCATACCTGAAACTGGTTTTTATTTGTTCTACTGTGGCAGAAATAACTTTTGAAAAGGAAACCCATGAAGATTTCTTTTTCCCACCAATTGATAAAGACTGACTACAGTACAAAATTTGTGCTGTAATAACTAATCCTTTTCTAAAATCAAAGCTGTGGGTTTTTTAAAATTCAATTTATATGGCTACCCAACTTACAGTGACTCCGGGCGGTGTACAGAAATCAATTGGTTGCCAATTGATCTCAAACAGCCTTTACAGGGACTTGGAATCCTACTAATTTTAAAGGGAACTAGAGTCTGGTTAAGTGTCTGATTTTCCCATTGTACTCAGTAGTCATTACTTGATTACACTTGTGTGTCCAAAAGGGAAATGTTTAGTAACAGAGTTTTCAGTTCCTGAAGCTAGAAGAGTCTTTACTGGGATATTCTGAATGTAACATTGCTATGAAGCAGGATCCCTTTCAATTGTTCCCCAATACTGCTAAGGGAAATCCTTTTTTTAGCCAGATAGGCACCTACGCCCCAATTCTTAGAGGATTCTAAGAGATCCATCTGCCCCACAGCTCCCACATTTTTCAGCATCTCCATCAAATCCCACATTTCCTTTTTAAGCTCTCTCTTGTCCTTCTCTTTTTCAGTACCTTTCTCTCAGTCCCCCAGGTTCTGTTTGGCATCCTGTAAATCCTCAGTAAGAATATCCAAAGTTCTTGGATCATCATTAGGTATCTTCCCTATCTAAGGTCTTTCTGGTCTTTCTGATCCTCCTAACACTCCTCTAAGCCAATCTCTAGTCCAAGGATGTGTTAGAGCAGATCAGAGTTTCAGGTCTCTTGCATCAAGATCTGGCTCTGTTCTACAAATCAGTTGGAATAAGGGAAATCTATATACAGTACAAATTCAATAGGGCCTTCTTTCTGTTGTCTCTCTTCTAGATCCTTCATATTTAACTGTGTTTGAGAGAGATCATTTTGCAGAAATTTCTTTAGATCTATAATGGCATTTGGATTTCCCTACCCTACATGGTCCTGAACTTGGATAAGCATTCATTATTCTAGCAATTTCTTTTTGGGGAGATGAGGCCAGAAAGCATTTTACAGTGATAGTCCTAGGACTGTAAAACAGCTTCCCAATGAAAGTGAGATTGGCACCTATAGCTAGTTAAGATGAAATTCTTCTGGTGGGCTTTGGGGGAATGAATTATTTTATTATTTCTTTATTATTAAGTTATTAATACTTTTACAATTTTTTTTAAATTGATGTTTTGTACGCTAGTGGGAGTTATTGAGATGTAGTAGTATCTACCAGATTGGTAGATTGGCTGGATGGATAGATGGCTGGATGGCTGGATGAATAATCTAAGTAGACTCTGAGGTCTACAAAATGGGACTTTGGGGACTCCATGCACCTTGGTCCACAGGTTAGTTTATTTAATTTGTAACTCACCTCATTCAAGAATTCAAGATGGTGTGTGTAGTGTTCTTTCCTCTGATTTTACCCCTCAATAACAACCCTGAGAGGTATGTTGGACTGAAAAAGAATGACTGGCCCAAAGTTAGCTTCTATGGCTGAGGATCATCTTGAACAATTTAATTCCTACAAAGGTGCCATTTATTTATATAATTATTTCCAAAATCTTATAGCAAAAGTTCTAATATTCCAAATTTATTTGGTCCCTTAATTTGTTTATAACTCTCTTGAATTAAAGCCTTATTTAGCTTTTTGCCATTTATTTTAAATTCTTAAGCTTATAGTTAATTTTTCTTTTATTCTGGAATGAAGGTAAACTCAACAGGTGGCTTTGCAAACTTGTCATTTTGAAGATCTCTAACTTTAAGATAGTAAATAGGTCATTTCCGAAAGTGATTAGAAAGTGAGGCTAGCAAACCCAATGTCCTTAAAAAGACCCTGCTGCTACTGAGAGCAAGATGGCTTCCCTTTGTCTCCCGGCACTCAAACCCATGGGAAACTACTGTCCTGTGGTCTCCTCACGAGGAGCAGCTGTCCAGAGCACAAGTAGGCAATCTTCTGTCCCCTCCTTATCCAGAGAGTTTCCAAGGGACTGGTCTACTCGCCAGTCCTTTGGTTGTAGCTGTGACGTCATCTCCACTTGTTTGGAGACATGCTAGCTTGCCATTCCTCACCCGGAAGTCTGAAGTCAAAATTAATTATGAACAGAAATATATTGGATGCATTATAGTATGTGGAGGTGTGGTAATAAGAATTATGAAAAAGGATGCTTGGTGAATGAAGTGAAGGAGGCTGTGGACAAGAAACAATAAATGTAACAGAATTATTGTTACAAAACATGAGGATTAGAGAAACTAATCCGCATAGTGCATATGGAGAAAAAAAAAAGATAATTGCAAAGTGTTTACTCAAATAGAGACTTGAGAGTAAATTTGATGGAAATTAAAAACAGTTTTGGAGGTGGGTGAAGAGGGTTAACTGAAGAACCTGCAGCAGAATAAATGAAATTAAAAATAAAAGGAATTCATTTGGGATAAAACTGAAGTGAGGAGATCAGTGAGGGAATGTTGGAAAGAATATATTAGAGATTTTAATAGGAATCATAGTATTATGTTGAAGAGAGAAACTGAAGCAAATGCTTTAAAAGTTAGTGTCCAAGAAAGAGTTGATGAAAAGGAAATGATAAATGCTGTGAGAATGTTGAAAAATGATAGGATTGTAAGTGTAGACAGTGTACCTGGGGAAATGCTAAAATATGGATATGGTTTGCTTATGGAGAGACTGTGCAACTTATTTAACATGTACAGTATATGAAAGCAGTATTCATGCCTAACAATTGGAAGAATGCCGTTATTGTTCCCTTGTGTGAAGGGAAAGGTAGCAAGATTGTATGCAAAAAGTAAAGGAGGATTAGTTATTAAGCATGAACAGAAAGGTCTTTGATATAATTGTGATTGAAAGAGTTAGAACTGGATCCAAAATAAATTATTCATAGTTAAATACTTTAAAAATCAAGAACTTGTTAATAATGACTAAATTTTCACACTATCTTAGACTGGGAACAAACCATTGTCTTTATATTAACTTTTTGTTGGTCCTTTTTAAAGGCAGGTTTGACAACATATTTCCATCCTGGAATAAATCTGAAGAAAATCCATCATTACAGCATCAAGCTTTATGAAAAATTAGAGGAGGAGACTGGGCAGGTAATAAGCTTTAAATATATTGAATACAAAATACAGCATATTAATTATGTGAAATCTACAGTTTTAGAATGATTTGATTGGCATTTGTATACAAGCTATACAAGAATAGCATTTTAATGAAATTAATTCATTCATTAATTAAACAAATATTAAGCAGAAATATTATTTATGTATAGTCTATATATGATTAATGTCCCAAAGATATCTGTAGATGTTAAGCATTTTCTAATATCCAAGCATTATTGTTTATCTACAATGGCTCTGGAAATTACATTACATGTGAATTCATTTTGAACCCATTTATCTGTAGCACACGTTGATTAATGATTAATGTTTTGAAAGTGGTGCATATTAAATTGTTCACATCTTTGAGGGAGAACATATAAATACAATGAAAAAGCGTAATGGCATAATTCACTGATACAGTTACCACATTGGTGAAGCAAAATGAAAAAGCAAATGATCTTTGGCATCATGATGGAAATTCTGCTAATGTCACGATGTTGTACCCCTTATGGAAATCAGGGATAATTTTTCTTCTTCTGCGATATATATATATTTTATAATTCTCAATAAATTTTATGGAAAAATGCTTTCAATTTTTTTCCCCAAGGGATGAAAAGTTTTGGTGAAATTCTGAATGGGATGCCACTTACGTACTTCAACATAGTCAACTAGTGGTCTGCAGCTTCTGACTTCCCACATTTCAGTTAAACTCCCACTGAATATATTATGAGGGAGCATCTTCCATGGGGCTTTTTCAGATTCATTAGTTAGGGGAGCCAGAAGACTGTGGAATGTTGGAGGAATGCCTAATAGGAAAACCTGACGACACAGCATCATCTGCCACCTGGCAGTCATAAAATAAGTTCAAAAATACTATCCAAATAAATTCTAAAGCACCCTAAATATAAAAATACCCGAAGACTCTTTCACAAATATTTTGAGCAAGAGATCAAAATCCAGTGGAAACAACAGATTTTCAATTCACATGGAACAATACAATCCCATAGTTCATAATATGATAAAAACACTGCTCAGATGGAGGACATATTAAAGTATGAAGCACACACTGAAACATTTGTGAGCTAAATTTTCTAATATTGGTCACTATTTTATTCAATTTCATAAAAAGGAACCTAGATCAAAATAGATTTTATGATGATTATTTTGAACTTTATTGAATTCTGCAAAAGTGCTCATGAAGGTTCTATATTGGAAGATTGTGGGTTGCTATTATTTTGTTTTGTTTTGTTTCTTTCTCTCAGGCTGTGGGGTTTCACTGCCCAGGGAGTATTAGAATTGCATCAACTCCAACAAGAGTGGATGAATTTAAATACCAAATGACTCGAGCTGGTTGGCACCCCACAGAACAATATCTTATTGATCCAGAAAAAGTGCAAGAATTATTTCCTTTATTAAACATGGCAAAGGTATATAAATCCAACTTATTTATTTCCAAAACCTGTAAAATATTTATCAAATGCAAAGGAACATGTCTGAGATGCAAAATTGTTTTTTAAATGTCTTAATCAGCAGGGTTTTCACTGGACGTTTTGCCAGTAATGAAAAGAATGCACAACAAAGAAGTGAACAACAATGAAACAATGCAAGATTAGGATCAGCCTTAATCAATTTGAAGCTATTGTTTCAAGGAACCAATTTTAAGGAGACATCCTTTTTCCGCTTCCAAAATCCAGCTGTGTCTGCACATGGGTGTAGCCCTGAGACATCTCCAACACTTGTTAGCAAACTGGGGTTTGGGTGAGAGAAAGGGAAAATTATTAGACACATGACTGGAAAACATTTGTATTAACTATAGTCAATTTTAATTATATTTAACTGCAAGTAAAATTAAATTATTTTTATCCTAACACTCTGTCTGTGGTTTAGAGTATGGCAGTGCATCCCTTGGATCAGACTGATTTAAACAATTGAGAGTTAGTCTGACGGGGGGGAAGGAGATCGTGTCATCTATAAACTACATGTACACATTTATTACTTTATCCTGTAGGCTGTGCTGGTGCAGAAGCAGAAAGAAGTCTTCAATACTAATATTTATAAAAGAACCTGGAAATTCTGTAAAGGTCAATTTTTATTTGCAATCTATTGTTTATGACATACGTATCAATATCTGATAAGTGAAACAAAGCAGGCTATGAATAGTAGAATAAGATAGATAAATGTGAATAACCTGATTGTAATTAATGATTAACACTAAAATAAATTGAATTAACATGAAGTATTTGCTTATTTTGTATTCCACATGGTTAGATTCTGAATTTCTAGAAGCTATATACTGCTGCCAAGTTTTGTATTCAAATCTTTCCTCCTTTCTACTCGTTGTGGAAGCAGGGAGAAAAAGTAAAACTCATATAAGTAATATAAATTAATTCTGTTTGATACAGGTTTTAGCTGGTCTGTACAATCCTGGAGATGGTCATATAGATCCTTATTCACTTACTATGGCTTTGGCTGCAGGAGCCAGGAAATATGGAGCTCAGTTAAATTATCCAGTACAAGTAACTAATTTAAAATCTAGACTAGACGGAACATGGGAAGTTGAAACTCCACATGGAATAATTAAAACAAACAGAATTGTGAATACAGCTGGTAAGCGATGAATTATATTTTCCCGCCTTTATACGTTTAACAACAACTATAAAAACTTTCCATCTGGGCAGGAAGAAGTAACTCACATATCAAAGCATTAATGTTTTAGGAAATACCTTACAAAAGAGAGTAATATTTGCTTTTCACTCCATATTTGATGATCTCATGGAATATTTGGTTCTATAGTTTACAGGACAGAAAGATTTCCTTATTTACCTTTCAAGGTTAAATGATACAATAATAAACCAAGTTAATTTATCCTCAACTACATTACATAAATCAGTGGATGTAATTTTCACACAAATATATAGGATTAAGATACAATGCCAGATTTCCAACTAAGCCAACTAAGGCTTCATCCACATAGTCATTTTGTCTGTGCTTTCCTCTATCATCCAGGAGGAAATAGATGACAGGAAAGAGTTGAATCTCATGACTGCTCAGTAGGTATTGCTGAGAACATGCAACTGTATGTTCTTGGGGTTTTGGGGGGTGTAAGAGATGTGTTAAGCTGTGGAGTGCTCTAGGGTACATCCACAAAATGTTATCAAAATGATTATCAAACAGTTGACCTAACAACCATTAGTTGGCAGCAAAGAGTTAGAGTTTTTGTATCTCTTGGATGCCATCCAGTAGTCAGTTAGAACCATACAAATGAGATACAGCCAGTGGATAAATGTTGTTGAAGAGCTGGTGTTTGAGAAATGGTTTTGTTACAGATGTGTAGGTTGAAATGTTGACTTATCCATCAAAAAACAGCCAATAAAGCAACTGCAGAAGCCAGGGTTCTGGTCTCCCAGGCCCCCCTGCAGTTGGAGCAATGATAAAGTTAGAAAAAGTCCCCTTGTCCACTCTCCCCCCTCAGAGAGCCCTCTGGACCACCTGCTCCATGGCATGAGATGAATGGAACTAGTACTCAAGAGCAGGAGTGAAGTGTTTTCAGTGTTTGTCTTTTGAGTGCTTTGGGTTTCATGGTACTTTTTGGCAATTCCCTAGCAGACCTTCCAGACCAACAACAGCAGCATCTAAAGCTACTTTCACACATGCCCTACATTGTCTGTAGAGTGATCCATGAGGTAAGAAAACTGGCATCAAAGCAGCCATTCCCCTGGCATATCTCCCTTCTCTGTTACCATTTGTAACACTACAAACTACAAACATGTAAGTTCATGCAACTTGAAGCAATGTACTGAAAGGTTAAAAACACAATATAACAATAAAAGAACAGAAATAACAAAGAGCAGCCCATAGAATACCCCCAAAAATAAAACTTGTGTCAGTGAGTTTCCATATCCCCTGGCTCAGGGCTTGTTGGAAGAGTCTGGTCTTCATGACCTTCCTGAAAGGCAACAGTCTCACAGCCATGCAGACTTTAAGGGGAATGGTATCCCAGCATGAAGGAATATAGACTTGGCCTTGGGGATAGAGAACAAATGAGCAAACCATTAAGGAGGTACTTTCAGAAAATATTATTCAGTCCTGAGAAAGAGGAATCTGAAAAAAAAGCTTAAAACAACCCCAGCTTGATTTTGTTTGGTATAAGATGGGGCAAAGAGAACTCTGATGGGCTTTCAAGATTCTTTTACTATACCCTATAACGTTTCTCAACTTCAGCACGCTGGCTGGGGAATTTTGGGAGTTGAAGTCCACACATCTTAAAGTGGCTGAGGTTGAGAAACACTGCTCTACAACAGTAAAGTAGCTTTCCTTGAATCCCTGCATTCTCTGTTTCATGATCTGGCTTACCTCTGAGGGCTGACAGGAAATATCTGGGAAAGCAAAAGCAAGGCATGGGGACTAGGAAAAAGAACCCCTGAAAGGAAAAGGCAGATGTTGGTAGACCAGTCTGCATAGGTTTTTCTCATCCTCTCATCAAATTATTAAACTGAAGTATGCCTGGATTCAGTGTTTAGCCAAAGGAACATTTGGAGCTAATATTGATTACCGACTTGGGATGCTGTAGGTAAACAAAACTATGGTGAGCGTATGTTCCTAACACTGTTGGAGCCAATCTTCTTTCTTTGTTCCATATCCTCCTCTTCAAAATAAATAATTTGCTCTGCATTTTCATGCCAGGCTTAGTGTGCTAAGTTCAGAGTGATTTCATAGGAAACAGCTTACCTTTACGTCTCATCCACTTGCTCAATTTCAGAGAATACATTACTCAATTTCCAAAGCATAGTTCAGAATATTCAGCAGTGTGCATGGCTGCTTCTTCATGGTTACATCATTGCTTCTGCCGCTACCAAAACCTTTATGGCCTTTTAAATTTGACAAACACAAACTCAAATGCGTACAGTAAATAAATACTTTCTCACAAATATTTTCTCTCTTCCACTTGGTAGTTTGATATTTAATAGACAAAATTATGTGCTGTGTAAACATTCTGACAGTATGCATAGATGTAATTTTTTTTTTGTTTGGAGGCAACTCTTTAATTTGAAGATAGTGGTAAATTCTTGGTAATAAAATGGCAAGTAGAGAGGCTTACTTACATATACGAAGGACGATACTGGAAGGAAAGAAAAGGTTAACCTTTGCTTTGTTTCCAGTCTCCATATCATGACTTGGTCTTCATAAAGAGTAGCATCCAAATTGAAACCATATGTGTTAAAACAAAATTCTTTCTGTTTAAGTACAAATATGCAAAAAGTTCTAGGATTAATCCAGGAAGTTTAATGGTTTTAAATATCAGGGTGTTGCATTAGGGTTTAGGTAGGAAGAGGTCCCAACTGAAAATGCAGCATGTGTAGCAGAGATGCACTGCAGCTTTCTAATTTCTTTTGTTATTTAAAAGGAGATAGTTTTGTGCCTGCTCTATTAAACTATTTGAACCTATGTTATTGGCTCAACTTCTATACAGAATTCAATTAGGACTATACCCCAATTACTCCCCATTAGAAATAGTGCAGTCTAAGTTCCACAGGACAGTGTTTCAGATTCCTAAGGCTTCTTCATGGCTAGAAGGTCATCTGCCTGAGTTGGAAATTTGTGTTGGCTGGGGATCTTTAATCTCTGACTAAAGTTTAACTTTTGTCCAGTCAGTCTGGTTCTCATAATTCATGATAAATTTCATTCAACCTGGAACATGACCTTATTGGATAAACTGCCATCCTATGGCCTTTTCCCAGTTTATGCTGTCTGTGGACTACAGTCAACAAAGGGTATCTTTAAAGTAGCAAGCCCTGGACTTTGAATATGATATATAATGTGTAATATGGTTAGAGACTAGTTGAATGTACTGTCTGACCACATTAGATCTTAGAGATTGAATTTGAGTCTGCAGCTGGCTAAATATCCTGGAACTGCCCAACCATTGTAGAAACCTATCTCAGATTCACTTCAACATCCTCCCATCTGCTCTATTGGAAGGCAGATTTACTAGGATCTCTTACTAGGAAACCCGCTCTTGTTGCTGCAGTCAAAACAGTTGGGCGTGTCTTGCTTTACTGTGAGTTTTACAGATATCTTCTTAGAAAGTTTACTATGCCCTTTTTGGAAGACTTTCCAGATCACCCAGCTAAATTTTGTATGGTACATATGCAACAATAGATCGCAAGGGAACATCAGGAAAGCTGGGGTGTGGGCATTATTGGTTTGTTTATTTTGTTTCTTGTATATATATACCACTGTAAACTGAGTTACAACCAACAGATTACACCCATTCAGTGTAAATGTATGAAATACATTTGTCGAGCAAATACAGTGCAAATGTACAAAAGAAACGAAAATAACAATCAGAAAATAAAAATATAGATGGCAGCTTCTTCTTAGGCCTCACATGAGGTCCAGAACAATTCTGGGTTTTTTACCAGCTTTTAAAAGGCTACTACTAAGGGTGCTAACCTGGTCTCAAGAGGGAGGTTATTCCAAAATACAGGGTCTGCAATCAAAAACCATTCTTTGGGGCCCCTGCCTGCTCACTTAACAGCTAGGCTGGGATGCACACACTGGATGTATTATCTGCCTGCCTGCCTGCCTGCCTGCCTGCCTGCCTGCAAGAATTAGCTTTTTATTTTAACATTTTGGTATTCCAATTTGATATTTCTTGGTATTCATTGTATTTCACTGGTATTCATTGATTTCTTGGTATTCATGTGTTTTAATGAAATAATTGCTCTGCTTTCATTATTTGTTAATAATAAAAAGCAAGCAACATATTTTATAAATAAGTCTCTGCTACTGGTAGTCTCTACTGAGTGCCTAACGCAGTCTATGAATCTGAAGTTTTCCTGTTCACCTTTGAGCTTTCATTCCTCTAGACTTTTATTGGTATTAGCTGGATGCATTGCAATAGACAGCCACAGCCCAGGCATAATTGTATTGGTTGTGGTTTCCTTGAATCACTATCATAGTCTCTGCCCTATTTAAAAACATTGAATTATACTTTTGAAACACTTTTTTTTTAAAAGATTGCACTATTTGTTGGCCAGGATCTTGTCATTCTACTATTTGTATTTCTGTACACTGTGTTTTTAGGTTTCTGGGCTCGTGAAATAGGCAGAATGATTGGATTGCATCATCCACTCATACCAGTTCATCACCAATATATCGTTACTGGAACTATCCCTGAAGTGAAAGCCCTGAAAAAGGAATTGGCTGTTCTTCGTGACTTAGAAGGTTCATATTATTTAAGACAGGAAAGAGATGGGCTTTTATTAGGCCCATATGAAAGTCAAGAAAAAATGAAACTACAGAAATCTTGGATGGAACACGGAGTCCCACCAGGTAAGTTTGCTTGGGGGAAAAAAAGACTTCAGAAGCACATGCTGGTGCTCAGACTTGTTAATTGGATTCTTATATTATACATATACAGTATATCCATAAAGACAAAAAGACTTTTTGGCAGTCTTACTCATGAATGTGTATTTGGCAAAAGAACTCCGATTAGCGGGGTCCAGAAGGGGGGCCTTCTCTGCTGTAGCCCCTGCCCTTTGGAACAACTTGCCCACAGAGGTGAGACAGGCCCTCTCACTCCCAGCCTTTCAGAGGGATTTGAAGACCTGGCTCTGCCATCTGGCCTGGGGCAGGGAGGGAGGTCATCAGAAATGGGGTTGGCTAGCCCCCTAGAGGCCTGGTGTTGCTTCCATCAGCCTCTTGGATTTTTTCTCTTCCTTCCATAAATGTGTTA